GGGGAGGGTATTCCCAAGCTGACAAAACTGTTTCTCTTACAGGGCCCCAGAGTAGGACAGAGTAGGAGCTCTGTTTTACCACCACTTCCTATGTTGAGGCACTTCTGTGTTGTTTGAGTTGATGTGTAAACTTTCGCCAGTGCTACCAGTAGCTACAGAATCACTAAATAGTATAAAATACTCTAGATTGAGCTGATACATCATTCAGTACGCATCACTGACATACACGCACTCTACCATCTTTAGGCCTTCTGCATGAGATGAACAGTCTGAGCGTATCTGCAAATGGCTATAAGAAAGCACTTTTTAAGTTCCAAGCACAACATGTGGACACAAACATATGCTCTTTTGCACGCTTAAGCCCTTGTATACCCAGTTGTGTTGTACATCTCTAAGTCAAAGCCCTGGAGTTTGCATTCACTTCAGACACACCCAGGTCTGAGTCTGGCAATCCATCAGCTTAGTGGGGACCACCTTCTTCTGGATTTCTAGCATAGTTTGATCACATCACTAAAAGCTGAAACTATGTCAGCAGATGTCCAATGCCCTCTGTTATGCTATTACACTTTTATATTATCCAAAGCTGATGTTCAGCCAACCTTCAACATCATACATATACACACCTATGAAACAAAGGTGTCTATAGAACAGGCACAAAGTATGTAAGATCTGCTTTGAAAAAAAGTACCGTTCATAACTGCTTATTCTTACTAGATCAAGCTTCTTGCTCTTCTCTATGTTCAGGGTGTCTTACTTTGCACATTTCTTTCCACTGACACCTCTTCAAGTTTGTGTCACACAGCGCTTGTAACTTCAGCAAGCCAGGGAGAGCACAGCAGCTCACAATTCCCATAGCCACCCCTGCTCCAGCAAAGCAGAGAAGCTCCATAATGGCTTCTGTTTAAAGCTTCCACTGTTCTGGCTTTATTTCCAGGCACACACGGGATTCATCAGCTGACAAAGCTGGCATAGGTTTTAATACACCCTTCTATCTTGACTGCACATCTACTCTGTTCAGATCGTATGGAAAGGTACAACCCAAGCCTATTTATAATTGAAGATGACAAAGGTCAAAAGCTGGGTGATCACATCAAATGTACCATGGCAAAGATTAGTTCCCTGCTTTGTTCTGTGGTTAACTGCTATTTATGAGATTACCGGACAGTCTATTCAGCAATCCAATTACCCAAGGTTTAAGAATGTGATACAAGAAGCTTTCCACCATGTCAGAGGTTTGAAAGGAGCCTCACCTGGAGGCTTAGAAAACGATTCTGTCTTGTGAGCAGTTATTTACAATTGGTACCTTAGTTAAAAGTCGCGGAGAAGTCCCATGAAATAACATGAATGGCCTTTTAGGCATAGGAAAAGCTTCTTTCAGGACAAAAGTAAAATGGAAGCTTACTTGGCTATTTTATTTTTGTATTGTAGTTGTTCCATGGATGAATAGTTGTAAAAAACAGACTCGGCTCTCTTGATTCTCTGACCCAAAGACTTGCATGTATTCATGCAACAAGAAGTGAAACAGAACACATCGCTCAGAACTCCAAGCAGGTCTCACTTTTATTGAAATATCTCAAGCTTAACAAACGTGACACACATGGTTCTTGCTGTATCACATACCCTCACAACTGCTAAGTTAGCCACTTTAGATTCCTGCAGAAACTTTCTTTCAGCACAGCAAGGTGAAGCGAATATAGCTGCTACAAATATAAAGCAAACTTAGAGGTCCTGCTAGGAATCACAACTGAAATCACTTTTTCCTTAAACAAAGCCTGAAGATTCCCTGAGTCTGAATTAGGAACAAAAAAAACCCCAAACAAACTTATGGCTTATGCATCTTTCCGCAATTTTTTTTACAAAGTAAGTTTGCCTCAGTTTAAAATGCACTATTTTCTATGCCACGTCGAAAAGGCTTTTTTTCCTGTTGGGATTACTGACAGAGATCTGGGTTGAACTCCAGCCACGGCACAGAAATTGTTATCTGGACTGAGGCAACTAACTCTGGAGATTGTTCATACAGTTAACATTTGGCATGGAACTTTTGTGCAATTCAGAGGAGCCAAAGTCCTCTGCATAGTCAATGGAAAGCGCAAGGCACCTACCACCACAGACAGTCACAGCTCCAAACGCAGACCCTCGAAGCAGATGTGAATCTTCTTCCCGCATTAAATGGGGGCTTAGTCCCATTTTAAAGTGGAAACTGAGACAAATGGAAACTGCTGTTAATACTGCCAGGCTTCACCAGGGTGTTGTACAGCTCCTGAACACAATGGTGGCAAACACCATATAAGCAGCTAAAAAGTAAACAGATCTTCAAAGCAGCAGCTGATTAAGATGAAGAGTCCATGCATATTAAGTCACTCAAGCTACAGAATTAACACTTTGGCTCTTCCCTCACCAGTAGCATACTCGGGGAGCTTGTCTTCTAGTGGTCAGTGCAAAGAAAACAAAGAACAAGCATGTTACATCATTCTCCTTGAAAGCTATAACCTATTGACAAAGCTAACAAAGTGGTATTTTTAACTGCTTCTCTTGTTCCAGGAATCTGCAAGGGCAAATAACGATCCTTATCCATAGCTGGTACATGAAACAGGAAAGGCTTCATGGACACTATTAAATCAAGAAAAATGCAGCAATGAATCAGTCCCAAAATAGGAGATTTCAACTGACAGTTCTTCTGGGCAATACTGAAAAAGAAAGTCATCTGATGTAGCTAGCTTGTATGCGATGGCTAAAATAATAATGCAGCAAAAAGTAAGTGCTTTTTAAAGTACCAGCACCAAATGCATCACTGCAGTACAAGGAGTACTTCTGAAAGGTACTCAGAAATGGCAACATACTGAGAAATGGAAGCGTTTTATGCACAGTGAAATACTTATTTACTGTCAAGCACCTGAGGTGCTCAATGGACTAACTTGTCTTTCAGACATGTCACTAAATTTATATGCACATGATATACTCCTTTTGTGCAAAATCATACTGCTGTTTTTTTGAGTACCATGCCACTGTGTGCAAAATCAGCAGGATACAATGAGGATTTCTGCGGGAGAGAGAAATAATACTGAGAAAAACAAACCAAATATTAATCCAATTCAGTAGTCATTGCTGGCATTTTAAAAATGCATCATAAATAAACAATGTAGCATTATTGCCAGAAAAGCATATGTTCCAAAAAGACAAATTCCTGGTGAACTAATACTCTGAAATACCATGCCGGTTTAGAGATACTTCCTAATCATGTCAATTATTTCATTATACATGCGGTAAGGTGCATCAAGGCCCCAGATGAAATCCAAATGTTCCCATTCTGGTATGTTTTTGTGGTAAACCAAATTTGTGATCTGAGTGAGCAGCATAGCAACATCCTTCGGGTCTGCCAGCCAGTCCTGTCCACCCGTCCACACCGCAGTTGGTACAGTCATCTCTTTTATTTTGTAGAAAGGGGGAGTAGACTGAGGAGGGGGGAAGGGAAAACAAAAGCATTAGAAAGAACAAGTCTTTGGTGGGATACTACACTGCAGTGTAACACACTATCAAATGCAAGAAGAATATGTCAGATTCTCATTTTCTCTTCCTCTCTTGGGCAGCTAGAGATGGAGATGGAGTCCTGACTCAACAGAAAATTTAACTCCAGGAGTCCTGCAATATTTTAGCACTCATAGCAGTAAAGATGTGGTTTGAGGAGTTTACAAGACAGTAGGGTAGCAGAAGCCCCAGAGAATGCATCCCATTCAAGTTATTTCTAAACCCTATTCAAATACTAAAAGCAATTGCTACTCGAAGTATGATACTGCAGTATTTCCCAGACAGTAAAGTGACAAGGGGCAAAGTATTTTTTGTATTGCACACAGCAATTTAGAAACAAACATGCATGGAGATTACACAGGCTGAAGATAAGCAATACACATTAATTGACAGTCTGTGCCTTATTGTGAGAAGTGCGGTGGGATCTCATGGTATAAACAGACAGGACCACCCTCAAGAAACAGTGTGCCATTACAACTTTGTATTCAAGCGTGGGCTCCATACTGACTCAGGACTACCTCGGAGCTCTGTAGTCCTGCCTTTTTTTTTTTTTTTTTCTTCTTCCTGGAAAAGGCAGATCTCCACTCTGGTTACACGGTAACACTAGTTGCTCTTTAGCATACAGCATAAACACAGCACCCAGAGAAGTGCCCAAGGGCTTTTTTTTTTTTTGACACTCAAGAATTATAACATACCCATAAAAAATGCCTACCTGGTTGTAGTGAGCCATGTTTGCAGCCTTGCTTCCCCAGTCATAAGCTTTGAGCTCCCCAGTCTTCACAGCCTAGAAATAAACAAATATTCACACATACAAAGAACTGTGACACTTCTACCCAGGAATAAAAAAGTATAGGTCATCTGCAGATTGGCAAAGGCAACTGACACAAGAAAGAGTAAAATGCCAAGTTGTCCTGGTTTTGGACAGTATTAACAAGGACCAGTGTCACTGCTTTTCCCAGTGTCACAGGAGTGGGAAACATTAACGTTCAGTACAATTAGACTTTGTCCCTTAAGTTTTCTTCACTCTTTCACAGCAATGGTAGGAAAGATTAAGGAAAACTGTTCAGTGTATCCAAAGCCAGGATGTAGCAGCTCCATGCTTAATTCTGAAATATTTACCTTGCTGCCTAAATGCATATGAACACAGCATGGAGCTTTCTTAGAAAACCTACTCTGTATGATTTACCACCTGTTATTTTTCAGAAACACAGGTCTATATAACAGGGACCTGGAAAAAAAAAGTCTTCACAGATTTCCTTCCAAGCCAATACTTGAACAGCTATGTACAGCGGAACACACTGGTTCTGAATAGATGACGAAGTCCAGCTACAAGATCACAGCAGCACTGACGACTGCTTCCATGGCAAACATCTTCTCTTTGTCAGCCTGCTAAGCAAGCTTCAGGGACAATAGCATCACAGGCATGAAACTGTGCTTTCAGTGATACTAAAGTATAAAATGAAGCCAAACAGAATAGAACAGAAAGCCTGCTGCATTTCACTGGCTAGAAATACAACTTGTAATCAAAACAGGGTTTGCTGAAAGGAGAACAAATACTTGTTACAGCGTCTCTCTGAGTTGTTATTCCATTGTACTGTTTGTTGTCCTGAAGTACTTACAGTTAGCATATCTTCAAGGAAATAAGGGAGAAGGTTGAGCCATCATAAGCCAGTGTCATCAAAGCAGCTGCAGTGAACAGCTGCCATTCTGAAAATCGGCAGTTCCAGAATTTCACTTGGGCTTTGCTGCATATATATGTTGGTATTTTATCCACTTAAATATCAGACACATCAATATTCTACAACCAAGCTAGAGTCATGGACATTTTAGATTCTGGAAACTCTACCTGGCTCCAGTGGATCATGTTTTGTACAGACGTTCCTGCAGGGCAGTGACTTGAATACACATCCACGCGGCTCTGCAACAAGGTAATTTACATGGTTTATTCTTCATAGTGCAACAGTTCTACCCATTATTGCTTCTTGAACAACTAACAGAAAATTTTCCATGCCTCTTAAAACTGCTACAAGCAAAAGTTAACTAGAGCCATATATACAGGTGAGGTAAAAGGTTCAAATGTTTGGGGGATTCACTATAATTAACCGCAGAACTTTAAAGATGAACTTTAAACCGAACAATGATACCCCTTAAGCATTTTTTATGTATTCAGAATATGTTTTAAAAAGTGCTAGTATTGTAAGAATTAGTTAACATTTAGATGGACCTCTAGAGAAACCTTGCATTACTCTACATCTAAATTAGTAACTTTCAGTCTAAAGTGATTCATATACTTTGAGTTTAGAAGTACAAAATATCCAGGGGAAACTTAAATCCTGGTAGAAAAAAAAAATATTATCCACCATTAAAACCATGAAAACTGTATGTGCTGGGCATTGCACTTTCACCTTGATATAAAATACAAAAAATGCACATTTTTGCACACAGAATGGTAAAAAAAAAGATACTGATTTTATCTCATTTCAATGAAAAAATTCTCAGCCTTCATCCACCTGTGAGCAAACTGATACCCGCTTCTACAGTTTCAGGGAGTTAGAAACACTTTAAGAAGCATTATTAAAAAAGGCAGTCTCACACCAGTTGCTGTTAACTAGCTTTTAGATAGCAAAACAAGCCCTATGAACAAGTCCTTTGGAACTAGGACCACAGATGAAGCCATCAGCAGCGTCAGAAATTGCTCCCAGACAAAATAATTGCACATGTCCACTGAGAGACCTGAAAACTTGAACAGTTCTCCTGAAAAATGGTTGAAAACTGTACCTTTATTCCTCAATTCCTTGCAAAAGGAATTAAATCCTTCTACCATTCTATTAATTCACTTCCCCACTTCCCCAACAGATCTAAAATAATGTATTTTAGCTTTCCTGTAACATTTTTAAAGGTTAATCCCAGCTAGGCAACTAATCCATACCAAGGAAAGATATTCATCCAAATTCAGTATGATGAAGGCGGCATTAGGGGTTTTCAAATTACATATAAAGGACAATCAGTACAACCCAGTCAATACTGTGTTAGAGTTCACAATAACATAGCTATTAAAAGTCACTAGAACACACCATATTCAAGTTTCTCTCATTAAAACCGCACAGAAGAAAGAATATGTTGCCACAAAGGTCGTCGAGTATTCTGTGGGTGCAAACATGGGTGGCAAGCCACTTCAGCACAGAATTCTGAGGGAGGAATTGTTTCTTTCCAAACATGTCCTGCAAAATAAGAAACACATAAGACAAACATATAATTCCATAGAATGACCTGGGTTTAGTTTTTGTACTACAACATTCTTGAGGTAATTATTTCCATTTGCACTGGTGACAGGTGTATCCCATGAAAATGATTTATCTCCTTATCACCCTTGTTTACAGTCCAATGGGAAGGTCATGGTTAGTGCTTCTGCTACAAATGATGCAGTCCATTCCCAGCTACATTTTGTGGGGGTAACTGGAAAAATCTTTCAAGAACCCCAAACATAACCTCAAATTCAAATCAATATTAACTTCAGTATGTTACAGGAATATTGTACAGCTTCTTGTCATTAGAATCATTTAAGGCTAAAATATGTTAAGCTGCATCTGCTAATGTTAAATGGCTTTATACTTGCAACTTCCTCTCTTCAAACCATGCAAGAAAAACAAGTTGCATAAGCTGCGGTGGTCACTTCCTCTTGATTGGTATTTTTAAAACATCCAAGGATTTGAAAGCGGCCCACCAAGAACTTCCTTAGAAGTGACACAGCTATTTAAAGATACGCCTGACCCATGGGTTTGTCACTACCATGTACTTCTGCTCTCCAGTTTTTTGCAAGTCACCATGAGAATCAACTTCCTCAGCACAACATGAACATTTGCACAGGGCACCAATCGGCTACTATTCTCATTAAACAAAGTTCATTACTCAAGCAACAGGAGATAGTAATTATTAGTATCACTTTTATGTTAACTGCCTTTGGACCAAGGACACACATTAAATCTGTACAAGGTATGTTAGAGAAAGGTTTATCTCACAGAACAAACAGCTCTGTGTGGAATCTCCATGGGTGGTAGAAAGAAGTGATGGTTAAAAATGACACGCAGCATGGTGTTCACAATGTCTGACTTCAGGCACTTACTGAAGCCTGCCAGTCTGCCCACACTCCCTTTGATGTTAGCGGGGAAAGGTAAACTGGTCCAGAGGATGATCCACAGCATCTAAATAAAGCTGCTGCTCTTAATCAACCTCTGAAGGTTCCCCTTCCAATACTAAGTGGTTAATTGTGAAACAAATCTGCTAAAGTTCATGACAATTCAGAAGTATTCCGTATAAAGCTATCACATGACTCTTCTAAAACAGACCAACTATTTAATTAATCATGTGATTTCTGTAGGTTAAATTCTAGAAACATGTAAATGGAAAAATATAATTTTATTCCATCTATTAAGTTGTAATTGTAAAATACTACTTTAAACTGATGCCAATTGTCTCATTAGACAGTAATAAAGCCAGAGAAGCCACTGCTGACTTCCAAAGCATTATTATGGAAAAACTGGTCCAGTATTCTTGTTGAACATGTTACTCTCTATTCCACAGCTATTAACGTTCTCTGTTATGCTGTTTTCAGCAAGAAAGGGGGACACCTCATTTGGCTTAAAACATTTACACTCATATACAAACCTTGAGTAGCAGGTCAGGAAACACTCCCAATTTTGTCAGAGGGCTAGTGGCAAACTTGACTGTAGCTACTGGTGCCAAGGCAAAGAACATTTTTATTTTCTTAGCCAGCTGTGGCAAAGTTGAAAAAGCAATGAAAGCTGTAAATAATATGAGAATAATTAACAAACCTCACTGACACAAGTTAGATGAGAATTTTACCTGGCAGTGATTCTATAAAATCTACGATAAAATGTCCAAAAGTATTTTTAAATTAATAGCTTGATTGTTGTATCTAGGATCAGCTTAGATATTGTAGATTAATCTAGTAACAGATTAAATGAGGCAAATCAGAACAATTTGTTTTCTTCTGCAAAACAAGTTCACACTAACACAACACTCTTCTATTTCTTTCTATTTGCAGGTCTAAAAGCATCTGATCAAGGCCTTACACACGGAAAGATATTCTGTAAATGGGAATCATATTCTACATGTCTGATGATTCTAATTTTATTATGCATAGTTCATCAATTTATTTTAATAGAAACTGTACTAGTGGCTACCTGTGACTTCAGTTTATCATTTCAACAGCTTCCCAACACAGTAAACACAGAAAGGTTAAGACTTTTCATTTTAATGTTGATGAATATTCCAGGAAGCAGCTCAAAACCAGAAGCAGTAGATTTCAAAAGCCCTATTTTTTCATCATTAAACCAGGTATGTGGAACTTGATACCATTTCAAACACAATATATTCTAACAAATCCAACTCTTCACATACCCATTGTGGTGCCCTGTGAATGGCCAACATAAAATACTTGTTCCTGGCCAGTTTTCTTCAAAATAAAGTCCACTGAGGCTGGAATGTCATACTTAGCCATTTCATCAAAGCTACAAAGCAAAGATAAAGAGTCAGTTGTGTAAGTAAAGATATCAGTGTGGAACAGCTGCACAAAGCTTTACTGCACTGTAGATCAGTTGTTTGGACATAAAGAAAAGCTCCCTCTGGATGAAGCAGAACACTCTGGTGATTGTGTCTGCACAGCAAGCACCAGTGAAAGCAATTAATGTTCTACTGACCACCTATGAAGGCTATCTCAGGACACTATACTGACCATAAAACTGTCCCTACATATGTGACAGCACACATAACCAGAAAAAAAAAAAAAACCTTGTACATTCACAGTGTGACTGAACTGAGACGATGGGCAAAGAGAGGAAGAGAAGCCTGCTTGCAAACAGCGTGTCCAGTTTCTCTAGTAAGACAAGGATACCTGAAAACCCAGAATTCTTCTTGTTTCACTGTGAAGTGTGTATGTTTCCTGGACCAGGTGTTCCCTCTGCTATTTCCCAGCCATACATCATAGCCAGCATCTGCCAGCATAAAGCCGAGGCTGTTGTAATCCAAGTTTGTGATCCAGTTGCTGGCATCTGCAAGCACACCATGCTGCAGAAACACCACAGGCCTTGCACCTGAAAAATAAAGCATTTATCATAGCTTCCTATTCGTCTGGAATTGAATGCCTAAGAATAATTCAAGTGAGTTTATAAAGTTTCAAGTTGCTTTAGATTTGCACTTTGAATATTTAATCTCCTTGACTTAATCTACCAAGATTAGCAATCTGTATAATATTCATAGTGCCATGAAATCATGTGTTTTCACAAAAAGCTACTTTTTATCATTAAGAATTTTAAACTAGCAACTTGTTAGTTTCCTAACTAGAGCAAAAGACTCCTTGAAGTTCAAAACAGGCAGAAAATATGCAATAAGCAAATATGAGAAAAGCAGGAGCTACAAGAAAAATACAGGTAGCCCTTACAACTGGTTCAAGCTCACAAATACTCAAAGCAGCTCAAACACAGAGACAGCTAAACTACTTATGACCCTTGCCCTGCCCCTAAACCTGAAGAAGGCAATCCCATGTATGTGCTACTGAGATCTTTGTTTTCCAGTTCAGACAATGCCAAACTAGGGTGCTGAGCTGTGGAAATCTCTGTAACCGGTACTGATATTATCTCTATGCAACTCCTTTGCATTACCAAAGCTCTGGGAGAACCTGAAGAGCAGAACCTGAAGAGCAGAACCTGAAGAGCAGAACTGGTAGCCAACACGGGAATTTATGTTTCAAAGGACTTTCTCCCCTTGACTTAAGTAGTTAAAAGAATCACAGTTAAGACCCAGGTGGAATTTAGGAAGCCTCTCTCCTGACTTCCCCATCCTGAAAAGGGAAACGGCACCTTTACGTGGAATACAGATGAAAAAAAATTGAAGGTTCTCACTTCTGCACAAAGAAAATGAAATAACATGTAGTTCTCTAAAAGAAACATAAACTTCAGAAAATCCAAAGACCTGTCTGCCTCTGGATCTTACAGTAGCACAGGTGATTTTTTTTTTCTGCTTCAATAAACTGAAGTCTGATAACGTAACTTCAGCTCAATGCCAGAGATTACACAGGAATTTACCTCCTCCAATCATTCTACTACAATACTAAACGCATGCAATACTTCCTCCATTGACAATTTAGACTTGGATCTTTCAGCATAAACAGCCAAATCACAACTGTTTTGGTCACCTACACCCTCATTCCAAGTCATGTCCATAAACGTTTGCTGTGGGTTCCAAAATCCAAATTAGCAATATTCCTCCCTCCTGGCAGCCTTTATAGGTGTGATGAGGAACCTTGTCGGTGCCTGCTTTTCCCATTTTGTTAAAAAGATCTTGTGGTGTACTCTCCCTGCAACCAGAGCAAATCTCCAGCAGTGGCAAACTGGCACTAGAGACAGTACAGTTAAACACTACTGTTTACTCTGGGCAGTAATACCTCATTGGCACATGAACAGTGGTGCAGGACTTTCAAGCCTAACACTAAATTTGTTTTCAGCAATGTTCACTTTTAGCTCTGGTACCTGCTTCCCTTTTACTAAACTCAGATCAACCAACTTCTGGTTTTTTGAAGAACAGGCTCTCCTCAACCTGCTACTTGCATGTTTCATAACATAGGAAGGGGAAAACTGTTTAACCGCTTTAATTCTGTCCTCCTATTAGTCTCCAATTTCTGCCAGTTCCTTTTTCACTTTACCAAGCAGTCACCAGATCTGCATGTGAATTGCGCAGTCATATGACAAACTGATTTGGACAATAATAATTTTGTATCATCTCTGATACTAAAAACCCCAGAGGGGAATAAGGGAATAAGGTAGGTAGAACCTTAAACTATCCTTTCTGCTATAGCACATTTTGTTCCCTTCACTGCCCACCCCAAGAAGCTGATGAGGGAATTATTTCCGTACCGTTCCTGCCCTTGCTATGCAGTTGGTTTAGATTTTTAGTTAAACCAAAAATCATTCATGTTTTGCTTTAGGTTCTCTGGACATTTTCCTCTTTTTTTTTTTTTTTTTTTTTTTTAAAGCTGAAGAACTGTAGGGTTTGCTCCAAAACAGCATGTGATATGTAACTCCAAGGGATCCTATTCACATTATGCAGGTATTGCAAAAGAATTATGGCATATATACACTAAGTCAGCAGTAACACATCATTGGTATCTTTCTGAGAAAAGATATGAAGTCTATAAAAACTTAAGATCAACATGAACTTTGAAATCTTCATTCTTCTAGGAGATCATACTTCCCTAAATGTGCCCAGTAATCCTTGTTTTTAAAATTAAAACACTTTGCAAAACATGAACTTGGGGTCGAGGGTGTGGCTAGGGGAATGTGGAGAATTCCCACAGGTCAGGAAACTTCTGTTTGCTTATGTCATCGATGAGGGATTTGACAAAATCAACAGGTACAAAGGCAGCCTCTCTTTTTCCTATGGGCTTCTCTGAAATTCTTAAGTACAAAGACACCTGCCAGGTTTGACTGGCCTCGTCCATGCACTGATCTTTACACACCCATCTTGTGAGAGACAGCAGGCAGTGCAAACATCCTAACTCATACAAAACCAACAGATAAGGTCAGGAAGACTGTTGCTTGGCCTTTGGCAGAGGAGAGGGTTTTTTCCACAGGTCTTGTTCACACACAAGGCTATAGGACAATCACTAATGCTTGGGTTTTTTTTTTGAGCTCCATGTTTTTACCTCTCATCCTAAGTTTTTTCAGTCTGAAGAGTTCTGATGCAGTCCTTAGAATATGTACAGTTTCTATGCAAACAGGCTGCTGTTGCATGCATGCGATTGTCTGTAGGATCTTTTTATAAGGGCTGGCAACATAATTGATATGAAATTCAGCCACTGCTGTTCAGATACTCTGTTATTTCTGCATGCAGTGTTCGAGGATAGCAAGTCAATGGCTACGTGCCTCTCCCACACACTTTTGTCTCATTTTTAAAGCATCCCATCACTCAGCCCTTGCAAAAACCTGTGTCCATATTGCTCCCTTAAGCCTCAGCTTGTATTTCCTCTACCCTTCTTCTCCCCCACCGCCCACTCTGTACACCCTCTGCATCCCTTCCATGGTCTTATACCAGCTTTCACAGTAATTCTTACAGCTTGTAACAGTGCTCTGTGGCACACGCCAATGGTCCTCCCAGTCCCCCAATCAAATCACATCCATAAAACAACCTGGTCTGGGCTGCTGTTGTCAACAACCTGTTATATATCCTAATCTGCAACATATTTTTTAATGTATTGTACTCAAGATGTTCTGAAGGGATTTTCTCTTATTATGTACCTATCTAAGCAGCTGCGTAAAATATGACACACCAGTAGTATGCAGTATTGGTCTGGCTTGTACCTTACTACAAAGGGAGCTTCAGAGAGGTTAAAATTACCAAGCAAGTTCTTATTTTATGCAGAAATCAGGCAATAATTATTTTGTGAACATTCTAGTGGGAACTCTTGTAGTTTAGTTATATTTCACCAAAAGAGGCATGTGATCTGTCCCTACTTTTGAAAATAGCCAGGTATTTTTAACAAACTTATTTGTTACAAAGAAACATTTTTTAAAATGTGGTTTGAGATAACCTAGTAACAGTACAATCAATCTCTTTTTAAGATACTTTACTCCTTAAAAAAAAACCAACAAATCTCAACCTCTATTTTCTACTTACTAGAAAATCCAAGCAGCCTCAATACAAAACAAAAAAATCAAACAACAATGAAGGGCTTGTATTAATGTCACAAAAAGGATACGCCAGGAAAATACAGCTTTCTAACTCCTTCTCCTTTCTTTACTCAAGTCACTCTACATGTGCCTAATCTATTTTGGCCATAATATTCACCAATAAAACATTCTAAGTGCATAGGCCATATAGTCTTTAATATTTTTCTGGATTATTACAGGGGCAAAAGTTTTATAAATCAAAGAGAGCTTTTTCATTACTTTCCATTTTCCAAGCAGAAATAAATCTCACCTTTGCTCCTCTCAGGGCCTTTTCTGCCATAAGGAATTCTGTTAACAGAAAGGATATACCCGTCTTCTGTTGTCACTTCATATTCCTCACTAGGGTATCCCCTGAAGGTAATAATTTGACTCTGAAGAAAGAAAAGAAATCACCTCGAAGTCACACTTCCAGCCTCCTCAGTTCATTAATATGTGCAAAGCACTCCGAGTTCCTTACAAAGACAGCGATGTGAATAAAGTATGTGGTAGAAATGTGCCATACCACCCGCCTATTCGATGCAGACAGGTTTTCTTATGAGACTTATCCTAGTACGAGTCAGGAACTAGCAAGAGCACAAACCTTAACCTAGGAATTTGGGAGGACTCCCCAGCCTGACCCCATCCACTGTCATATGTTACTCACACGCTGCTTATAGTGAGAAAGGAGATTAAAGTGTTGAAAAGGAGATTACAGTAACAGGGCAAAACACCTAGACATGGATTTGTCAAACAAAAATTGGAAGTGTTTGCTCCCAAGGGAAGCAGTATCTTCCGTAATAAACACGCAAGGACAGCAAAAAGCCACTGGCACCACAGCAGCATACGGAAGAAGAGAAGGGGGGAAGAGTTTATCTCTCCTGAAGGGAAAGGCTTCTTTAAGAACATTTCATTTATATCTGAACTTTATGCCTAATTCTCTGTTATACCGTGAATCATGCTGATCATGTTTTGGCAATGTCCTGAAATGAACACAAACACAGCAGCTTTAAAACGTTAAGGTCGCTCTCTTGGCGTGTGAGCTGCTGACACTGCCACCTCAGCTCATAGTTTCATGTGCCATTGCTAACTCACCTTTCTCCTCAAACCTTACATCTGTTGAATAGCTTTTAAGTTACTTTGCTGCCACGCCAAACAAGAAACTAATAATAAAAACCCCACACTTTTTTAACACTATGATTTTATTAATAGGTTTATCTCCTATCTCTTATTTCTTGGGCTTTATGATATTTTCATTTGATGCAACGCCATTAGGACAAAGAACTTGCTATTTAATTGGTTTTATGGCACCAGCCATGCCTTAAGAAAATGTAAGAAGTGCAAGATGTGATCAGAGTTCTATTCTCAGGTTGCTGGGCAAGGAAGAAAAGGAGCATTTAACTAAGCATGCTATTTCTTTTAAATATATCTTTAATCATCCACAGTGACACTGACATTCCAAAGTGATGTTAAGACTAAATTCTATTCAAATGCCATTAGCCTCAGGCTAAAAGACAATTTTCAGTCCTCAAAATTATATTTAGATGATACTTATGATTCTAGCATTTCTTTTCTTATACATCTCAAACATTTCTAGGTTGAAATACCTTCTCACCTGTGTGAAAAAATGGCAGAGTTTAGATGGCACACTGGAAAGAGCAACTAATACCAGTTACTAACAGCAAATATATTTTCTGGAGTTGGCTATTGCAGCAGCAGGAGAATAAAGTTAAAAGAGTAAATGCCAAATGGGAAGAAAAGTAGCTGTGAGTAAGAACAAGGGAGCATCGTGCTGGCAGCACAAGTACGCTTCACGAACATGCTCTTCTCTAGCAGTTAAGAAAGTGAGCGACCGGACTCTAGCAAAAAACACAGGTCTGGATCAAAAAATATGAGAGAGAGATCAGCCGCAGGCAACGGGGAACCAAACAGGACCTGGAAGGAGGCGAAGAGAAAGACGGCGTGCGAGCAGCGGGCTGTTAAGGCGCAGCGGGCTGTTAAGGCGCAGCGGGCGGTTAAGGCGCAAGCGGGCTGACCGCTGACCAGTGGCTGAAGTCTCCCCTGGGCTTTCACGGCGGCTGCTGAGGGAAGCACCGGATTCGCGCCCGAGGAGCCAGAACGGGGCCGCAGGCCGCCCAGACCCCTGAGCTCCTTTCCTCGCCCCGCTACAACCCCGCGGCCA